CCCAAACTAGGCTGACGAAACAGCTGTCCAGTACTCCCAGGTTTTCCAATGGTTCTCTAACTAATGTCAGCTCATGATGAAATCCTGAAACCAATCAAATCCCTACAAACCAACACTTGAATAATTTGGTTAGATTTCTGATTCACTGAACTATAAGTATCTATTCAAATGAAATACTGAATGAAGAACTCGGAATATTCGTAACCTACTAAATAGGAACGAATATTCAACAAATTTCCAAAAAAAAATACTTGAACTTGCCAAGTGAAAAGTCGAAGGTGCCCACAGTTCCCAAAAAATAAGTCTTCCTAAGATTGCAATTCACAGGTGATGTTAATAATGAGATTTTATCACAACATCTGAGAAGGGTTGTGTCAGTCTGCACATGATCCCTCATTTCTCTGTGGACAATTATGACTTCATTTTATTTGACGCAAACGTTATATGACATATCACTTCTAAGTTTTTAACGTTTCTTAAACATTAATGGTGATGCTATTGGAAATACTAAATATTTGACAGACTGCCATTTATATAATAGATAATGATTGAAGATGAAATGAAATTCTGAGCCTTTGAAAAATTCAACTGCCCGTTTTTGAATTACTTTCACACACATCTAAGAGCTGAACTATGAGACCCACATGTAAGCCATTGAGTCATTTCTGGGAGTAACTGTCATCTTTCATGTGACTGAGTGAAACATCGATGTCCAACGATTATCTCATCAGTTGCTCAGCTAGATCAACCAATCGAAAACAATCCCAGACATCTTTGTCTTCAATAAATCACAAGACCGTCTACTTCTAGTTCAGTATTTTAAAGATTAAAAGGAGATAAAAAATGGACAGCTACACTTTGCCCATAGTGATTGAGTCTCACAGCACAGCTGATTGAACGATGCCTTGTAATTCAGGGTTATCTGTCTGTTTTCATTTTACCTTCAGTCACCATTGCATTTTTGAATAGTTTCATTACTTATTCATGACACCGGATTGCTGTATTTCACAAAATGACATCACTTTAAAAGTATGTTTAGCTGAATTCTTGTGTTATGTTTCTGTGCTCCACTCACATTCGCTCCATTTTATTGTCTGTTATTATTTTATTACTTCATGTTTCGGGTGGGACACTGAGCTTCAAGCTACAGCTCTGAAGTTTCGTAGCACGGTTTTACTTATATCTTCCCTCTTTAGAGGTGAATCGGCAGAAGATCAGTCGCCGTGAAAACGCCAGCTTCCAGATATCCATCCAACCTGACCACTCTACTTTGTGATACGCCACCTTTGCTCAACCTCTCAGCAGCGTCTCCACACGACCACCTTCGCCGTTGGAGCATTGACGCCCACAAACTCAGCGATGGCTTCACAGTGCTTCTTCGAAAGCAGCCAGTCATGGAATCTTCATTTTATGGAGGCAGTGACATCAAGTGAAACGAAAGAAGACTAAGACTTAGTAAAAGAATGTTTATTTGGAAACTGGTATCTCTGTATGGTCAAATTATGCACACCCAATGTTCAATGCACCATTCGCACAAATCTTAGTGTTGCGGTACTTCTGGATTTCACGTTGTGTTTCTTTGTGTTCATTTCACGTTCTCGCCCACGTATCTCTACAAAGCTCCATCATTTACTTTCTCTAATATCAAATCTATCTCCTAGCTATAGGATGTTTTTATGCTGATGAACATATATATAAATATATATATATATATATATAACTGACTGTTGGGTTGTCAAATCGCTGCATTCCCATTTCTCAGGAAGAAAGCAGTACACTGTATATCAGGGGAAGTCGTCCAATTCGTTGCTTACTGAGGTTGGTGTCCCTCAAGGCTCTGTCCTTTCTCCTTTTCTGTTTCCTTTCCTCTTGCATGACTTGCCTCAGTGTGATGAAATGAACTTTGTTAAGTATGCCAATGATCTAACTATTTCAACGTCTGTTAACTCCCGCTTGGCTGTGCTAAGATGAACAGCTTTCTATCAGGAATTAGCAAATGGTCTTCGTGTAAGGACCTTAAACTAAATCCTTTCAAATGTCAGACTGTTAATTTCAGTCTCCGATGTAAAAGAAAGTTACAGGAACCTGTTGGTTCCTATAACCGTTGCAAAATTGATGATATTGACATAGAAATTAAGTCTGAAGTTAAGTATCTTGAATTAATTCCTTCGTCTGACCAATCCTGGTCTTTCCATGTCTTAGCGATTTCTAAATGAATATTTCGTTGGATGTTTTACATTAGGAATTTAAGGCACTCAGACATAACTCAACTCCTTCTCTTCCTCTTACAGTTTGTCCACTCGTGCATCTTACCTATTCTTCTTTCCTATTCACCCTTATTCTTTCCTGGATTGGTTAAAATAGACTAGACCATACTCGATAGAACTTTGAAGACTGTCAGTCGGGCAAGTGGTATCCCATTGGACCATATCGTTGACATCGTCATTGATGATAGGCACTTGGTTTCATGCAACAAATCTGCTAAAGGAATCTTGTGAGACTGTGAGCATCCACACCAGCACCCTCAGTTCCAAAATTGTGTCTCCTCAAGTAAATCAAGAAGTCTTTTTAGAAGACTTTGCGCACGTACGTCTAAGTATAAAAACTCCAATATACCATATTTGGCGACAAGTATTTTATGTGATGAAAATGGTGTCAGGCATGAACTAACTAACTAACCTTCTTTCCAATGCTAAATAAACCATTTTTTCCACCTTTACAACATCAACCTTTATTGTTATTGTATTTCTTATATTTATAATCCTCTCAATTTTTTCTATTTATTTGTTTATTTTTTCATAAGTGTGAACATTATTTAAGCTGTGTGAATAACTGTTAATTTTGTATTTCTCTTCACTATACTACATCAACAGAACATTAGATTCAATAATCTATAGTAACATGCTAAAATCTCCAAACTGAATCGACAATACTGTTTGAAGCAAGCCCACTGTTAGTATTGTTATATTTAATATTTTTTTGTACTTCGAATATTTTTGAATTTATACTGCAAATGTGAACAAATTCCACTGGTTAATTTTGTTTCAATTTTATTTATATTTTGAGTAAATCAGATGCAAGGTGTTGTGACAAATGCTGAGAATTCCATTCTGTATTATAAGTACTGTCTGTTTTGGAATAAAGTAGATTGTTAATTATTATTATATATATAAACTACTGATAAATTTTATCAGTAGCACTCGCCACACCCGGACTATCTGCATGGTTAGAGAGCGTTCTACACCCTCTATTCTAACTATTGTGTAATTCTCTCCCTTATACAATCAATGTGTATGAACTGTTGAGAACTGAAGGGTTACGATGAAGTATTACAAAGGTACTCCTGGGTCACCAACTGGTTGCATTCCTACTTCTCTAACAGAATGCAGCATACCGTATACAAAGGTAAATCCTCCTCTGCTGTGCTCACTGAAGCTGGTGTCCCCCAAGGTGCTGTACTCTCCCCACTTCTCTTTTCTTTCTTTACACATGACCTACCATCTTCAAATGACATTAATTTTGTCAAATATGCTGACGACTTAACTTTATCTTTGCCTGTCAAATGTCAAAGTGACTTCTCCAAGCTAAATGGCTTTTTATCAGAAATCAGCCAATGGTCCAAGGAAAACGTTCTTACCTTAAACCCCTCCAAATGCCAAACAGTTAATTTCACCTTTAGGCACAAATCTGACCTAAACAAAATGGTGGTTAGCACTCACGAGGTGTGCAACATAGATGGCACTGAAATAGAAATCAAGTCGGAAATCAAATACCTAGGCGTCATTCTATCTGCTGATCTTTCCTAGTCGTCTCATATCTTGATGATTTCTAAGAAAATATTCCGTCTTACCTTCTACATCACGAAGTTAAGACATTCTGATATAACCCAACCCTTACTCCTACAATTCGTTAACTCCTGTATTCTGCCTATTATTCTATATTGTTCCCCCTTAGTTTTTCCACGGCTACTGAAGAAAGACTATACCTCATTACATAGAATGTTAAAGGTTGTCAGCAGGGTAAGCTACGTGCCACTTAACCAGCTTGTTAATATTCTGGTCGAAAGGCACATGGACTCATGTGAAAAATGCGCAAAATCCGTTTTATCTAACACAAAACACCCACTTCATTCACAACTCTCCCCTTGTATCTCATCAGGGAAAACCAGAAGCCTATATAGAGAACTATTTGCTCTCACTAGTAAGTACAAAATCTCAACCATACCCTACTTGGCTGGTGTTCTGTGCGATAAAGAAAGCATTAGGCGTGAAACCTTTAACTTATCAAATAGTCAGTAGAACAACTGGATCGCGTCTTTCCAACTCATATCATTTATAGGTACAACGTTTTTCTTTCTTTCTTTTCCTTTTTTCTCTCTCTTTTTTCTGTTATGTGCAGCTTTCTTTCTTTCTTCTGCTTACGCCAGAAAATATGCTAGCACCTACTTTTCTAGCACCTTCAAACACTCTGTTTAATTTTGGCTTTGGTACCGACATGCTAATATGTTTTTGTCAAAACGAACTGAGATTACCCTTAATCTATGTAGAATTTTATTTTATTGTTAATTTACTAACTGGATGCGCAATACTGTAGTAAAATGCTGAGAATTCCATTCTGTATAGCAAGCACTGTTTTGGAATAAAGCTATTATCATTCATTCGTTCATTAATTCACTCAATAATCTCAAAAAAAAAAATAATTCTATGAATCATATCGTTTTTTGAAGACACACAGACTATCTACAAAAAATTTCTTTTAAACTGAACTCTCAAACTAACAGAGAACCACTTACAAAAAAACATTCTTATTATTATTGCCTGCCAATACTAAGTAGACTAATCTCATATAACCAGTCAACTAAATTGATCTACTCAAACATTTTAACTTGAAAAATACTGTGAATAACCTTTGTTACTAAGATAGTGAATAATAAACTCAGAACATTCAATTCAACAACACTAATGCTACACAACTGTTCAAAGTACTCATAAAATAATGAGTTTGACTTAAGGCATAGGAATTGTAATATATCCGTCTATTTTTATAAAATTCATCGTCAAGGTAACTACTACTGAATAAAACGTTATTGCCGTTTATGTTAATGTTATATGCGTTGTGTTAACCCTGCTGTTATAAATGTCTCCTTATTATTTTGTGTAATGTAATGTACGAAATATTGGAGATGTATTCTATTTCTTAAAGTGATTTAGTATAGTAGCAGCATATTTGTATAAAGCGCCACATTGGACATTTAATCTGTCCGCCATTTTTAAACTACAGAGTAATAGTATAACAAAACAAAACATTTTAATTAATCAATTAATTAATGTCGGTAATAATGGAATATCTGTCCTGTTTTGGAAAATATGACAACAAGAAGTCATCAGAATAATTAATAATCGAAGGTAATTCACGCTGGCTACTCTAACTATATATGAAATTTAAATTGACTATTTTGTATTTTTATTGAGTAACAAATTTTGCGAAATCCTTGTTCTCGATATATGTATGTTGCTGGTGTTGTGTGGAGGATCAGCTTTGAGTAGAGTTTTTAGGCATAAGGGAAGATGAAATAGCATCAGGCAGTCGATGTTACTAGTATAGCAACAGAAGGCTTTATTTCAGTTTAGATCCCGGATCGATATTACTTAGAGAACGGTTGTTTCATCCTAGTTTTGGACTCTTCGACAGTACTCACTCACCTCCACTGCCCAGATTCGAACTCAGAACCTTGTGGTTATACGGATAGCTAGCTCGTAAACCATTCGGCCAATGGGACCTGATTCAATAAACCATGAATTTTAACGCCTACCAATTCTTGATTTTAGCACGATCAATGTTCGCTGTAAAAGTAGAAGGTAAGACACATAAGTCAAACTATATTTTCAAGTGATCAAGCCTATATATGTATATATATATACAGTTTTTCATTCTTTAACCAATTATTGAGTGTGTGATTTTAGTTTACACTAAACGACTTGAAACAGAATGTTTAAATACGTATATAGTATTCTGTTGCTGATGCAGTATTGAACTGTGGGAATATGTGAGGACAATATTCCGTTGGAACACATTGTCCATTTCACACCATTACACTCTCTAGTGATTGGCTACAGGACGAAGTTGCCAGGAGATCCAGTGAGAAGTCGTGACAACTGAGGTCTATAAAGTCAGGAGTGAGGACTGAGGTCCCGCCGATGGAACTGGTTAGTGCCAGTCGCACTAAATATCGAGAGCTGGTAGATGTCAGAACTCATAGGTTGGCTATTGGATCGAGGCCAACTGGCTGAATGGCATACAAACCTGCTTGCATTGTGAGTGCGTACTGCTGCTGAATCCAAAACTAGTCTGACGAAATCGCTGCTGAGTAAGCCTTGGTGATTTTTTGATAGTTGCCTAACTGATATCAATTCGTGGTATAACCAGAAACAAATAGAATCCTTACAAATTAATTCTCGAGAATTCCATATTAGTTTGTTTATTAGATGAATCACACAGTGATTGAAACAGTATTATTATTTACTGGATGACGTGTCGAACAAAATTCAATATTGCTGTTCATAATCACATCCCCAATTGTAATCACGCGACTTTAAATTTTTTTTTTTTTTTTGGTTGGGGTTTTCCGGAAGGTATTTTTTTAAAAAATTTTTACCCCCCCTTAAATCCCCCTTAGTTTTTTTTGGAATTTTGTTTTTGTTCCCTTTCTTAGGTAAAAAATTTTTTTCCCCCGTTTTTTTTATTTTTTTTTTTTTTTTTTTTTTTTTTAATTTTTTTTTATTTGGGATAGTTTCTTTTTGAATTGCCTCCACCATTAAGTTAATGTGTTCAAAAAATCTATCTATATCCTATGTTTTAAGTACAGTGAATGTGTTATCTACATACCTTCACCATACTCTTGGGGTGGGGGTGAACGTTTCAATCCCTATGTTTTCCCACCTATCCATGAATATCTCTGCTACAACCGTCGATATTGGTGATCCCATAGCAACTGCCTCAGCTTGTTTGTATATTTTCCCTTGGAATTTAAATATTGTGAAAGTCAGATATAGCTGCACTCCCAGCATTATGTCTTCTAATGGTAGAACTTTCGTTCTGAGTTCGAGTTCTTGGTCAGAAATGGGTTCGTTTCTGACCGCCTCTATAGCCATATCTATTGATATACCTGTATATAAACTGACAATGTCAACAATGCAGGAATAAAAGAGGCACTCAAACTGCCCACAAACTCAATTAGAAAAAAGCTTCGCCAGTTAAGGGATCAGTCCTGTAGAGCCTTCAGAACAAAACAGTTTAGTTTATCTAATACCCTACTGGATTGATTGCGTGTCAGGTCAAATACATAGGTCAAACTAGTAGAACAGGGGCAGTCAGACTAACCGAATATAAAAACCTAGCAAAATCTAGACTGATTGACCCGAATAAGATAAGAAATCTAGAGAATAGTCCAGCTATAGCACTATATGCAGTTACGCACAAACATACAGCAGGATGATGGGATAGAATGACAGTTTTACAATCTAATGTCACAGGGTGGAGGGAGAGATTGATAACAGAAACTTTGTTTATCGAATCAACTGAAAATACATGTAATAGGAATGATTCAACACCTGTTCCAGATATCTGGAAAATCCTACTACTCCTACAACGCCAAATAGATGACAAAGAAAACTATAAAACTGAAGTTTCAAAGTCGCGTGATTACAATTGGGGATGTGATTATGAACAGCAATATTGAATTTTGTTCGACACGTCATCCAGTAAATAATAATACTGTTTCAATCACTGTGTGATGCATCTAATAAACAAACTAATATGGAATTGCTTACTATCACAGTCCCTAGGTTTTACACATATATTAATTCTCGAGAATGTTCCACGTACAAAATTCCAAAATCCTCCTCATTAACCTTGAAATCCGTTTGCTCAAATGAGAACAAATACGTATGTTTATTGTGATATTCCGTCTTTATCAATTCTGTGGGCTACTCTTTCTTGATTCTTAAGATTCCACGTAACACTGTAATACGTAGTATACATATTATAATTAATCTATGATTACATTGGTTTGTGTAGAAGAAACAGGCAGTTATTCTGAACACAACGGAAGCATTAATGGCAGATATCAGCATTAAAACAGCATGTTTGCAGTTATGTATGTATACAAACTGATAGAACATCATTTATTGGTCATGTAGGAAGAAATAATGTGACGAAACGAGAAATAGATTGTTATGTCAATGTTTAATGCTAGAAAAGAATTGTTTGTTTGTTTGTTTGTTATGTCACATAATGACGGTGTATCTCTTATCGATTTCCGTATGACCACAGAAAATTGTTTACAATTTTATCTGAACAGCGCAATGATTCAGCTATTTTATTATTATCACTACACTAATGTGGTTTAAACTTCCTGATTACGATCCAGGGCTTCCACAGACTGAAGGATGCCCCCCCACCAAACACTTTTAGTAGATAGGTTTAAAAGATGTGTACACATCAATTTTATGTCTTGTCTGTATAATATGTTTTGCAATAGAGGAGCTAGATCGTCTGTTTTCACCATTAATGAGTTCTGGGGGATTCCAATTACTCCTCTGAAGCCATTTAAGAATGTGATCTGAAGTCCTTACTTACTTGCAGAGACTGATGAGTCCTCCCTTCTATGTATATGTCTCCATACGTACATTTGAATTGGTAGATACAGTGGGAGGACGTGACATCATCTCTCGTATGTTCTATAGGCTTAGATGGATGAATATGCTTCACATTCTCAAATCTATATACAAAATTTTCAATCTGTCTAAATTCATTATCGTTTTGAATTTGTTGCTTGAGTGGAATTCACTTCTAGTGCTCATTAACATACTGTTTGCTTGTTTCCCTAAGCGATATTGAATTATTGATACCAAACGTATTTCTACTTTCAGGCAGTAAGTTAATAATAACGATATTATATTTTCAAATACCTATTTTTCTAAAGAATGGATACTGAAGAAAGTGTACTCTTTTCGAAAACTTCATCATCAGGCTCTACAGTTATATATACATTATAGTGAATGAATGAATGAATTAGTGTTATGAACAACATTAATGTTGTTTAAACAAAATCGAATCGATAATATTAATAGATTACAGTTCATTAGCATCAACATAACACTGCACTGAATATCAGAAAATTTAGGAAAGATAATTTTACAAATTCATGAATTTATAGTCTCTACTGAAGCACAGCCAGTGCAATAGTCGTGGCTAGCTGGACTTGCTTCTTTTGCACACAGGGCACTAGTTGTTTGAAGCGAATTGCAATAGACTCTGCTGTTTGAAGCATGCAGTGCTTCGATGATTTGGGAATTTATTTGGCACCCGGTAGATGATGATAGAGAAGGATTCTTCAATACTGGCTGGCTTTGTGGCCGGTTTGGATCAGATGGTTGAATATCAAACTGTTAATTGTTTTCACTACACTTTTACTTAGTCAAACTGGGAGATGTTCTTGAGCATGAAAAATCAACTTCCTAGAGCGACGGCCGATATAACTCGGCTCACCACAAGCGCAGTTGAATTACTAGATATAATTTGAAGTGGCTGGCTAGTCTAGGTACTACATATTTCAGTCGAGGAAGCACCATCGATCTAGCTGAATCCAACTACTATTTAATTCCATGCTCACCTTCTGCCAATATATTCAATTTCAAATCACAATGGTATATGTTTATATATATATTATTAGTATTCCCTTGGGTTCCAAGTGGGACATGCCGCTTCAACAACACATCTCCACTTTCTTCCATTGTCTGCTGCCGTCTTTATCTAGCCAGGCCAACGATTGCCCATAATCTCTAATCTGCCCCTCTCTAAACGACTTCCTCCGTATCACCCTCCCATCATTGCCTCATCCATCGCTTCCTAATAGGATTCTACTTGAGCAACGGCCTGCATTGTGTGCGATATCATTCGACGGTCTCCTCAACGTATGCCCCATCTATCGTGATTGGCTTTTGGCTGGTTGGTTCACCGCCAGTTTCTTGTTTCTAATTCTTTCTGGCCTATTATATGAT